GGAGCGTCGTTAATTCGAGCGAGGGAAAAATTAGTGAAATCGAGTGAGTCGACGGCGAAGTTCGATGAAAATTTGTACGCTAATTGCCGGCCGTTTACGGGCAGGGAACTATGAGGGCCACCGCTCATTAGTGAGACGTCCGCGAGGCGCGTCGGGGGAATCCGAAAAAAACGCAGGATGGAAGGTTTTTCACCGTGTACCTCGGACGTAAATCTCTCTCGTTGGTCTCGACGAGCAACAGGCAGCCTGATTGCGATCCCCGCGGGCGACCGAGAGCCGCCGGAGCGATTTTGGAGCCGCTGCGCCGGCTCCGATTAACGACCGGTTCGCGTACACCTCTTGACAAATCGATCCTGCTTCCGTATCCGCGCCGCCACGTGATTTATACGAGCTTAGAATCGGCCGCAGACCAAAATATAAATGACGCCCTACGAATGTCTCTATTCACGGAGCCACCTGTGTTCAATTTCCGTTTGATCCCCGTTTTTCCGGTTTAATTTGTCATTTACATATGACGCGGTAATAAAAAGCCAGTAATACGAGAAATTGAATACTTAATTAATATTTGTGTGTGTGTGTGTTACAAAACCACGATCGTTTATCATCAACGTAATCAATTCGCTTATCGTTAAGAATATAAGACGTTCTGTATTAATGGAAAACGTTTTCACCTTTCCTCTTACACGGTCAATCGTTTAATACACCTTGGCTAATCATGCTAGAGAGGATACCTGGGAAATTGGACGCCCACGGTCAGAGTCGGACGAGAAACGGCGTTCGAGCCTGGCTACTCCAGTTACGTCGATCAGCCATTAGACCTTCTAGTCGCGACGAACTTTATTAAAGGCGTGAGAAAGTCCCCTCCCGGAGGTGATTAAAGCCGCTGGACTAATCTACTTACATACCGTAAGTACCGCAAGCGACCGCCGCGGTTTGGAACTCAATAGCGAGCCGGGCTAAATTGAATGATGCCGTTTGACGCGTGACACGACCGCTTAAGCGTTGCATCGATCATCTCGTGCGTCCTTCGGACGGACGTTAAACCAACATGAAAAAACGAATCGGTGATTACGATCGTACCTGGGCGTACATATATGGGCGGTATACGTAAGTTTTCAATTCTTTCCAAGTAAATGCGATTCATTAAAACAAACTCCTGTGGGACACGTGATTTCGTAATTCCCGCAGTTCTTTCGTATCAGCATGATTAACGATTCAGTCGGTAGTTTTGACACTTCAGGAAAGACAAATAAGAATATTAATCATCAAATCCTACGCGTATCTCTCTGTATCCTACAAATTGTATTTTAACTACGTTCGTACATATTTACATCGCGATCTGTACGAATTTTATTCATTCTCCTGTAATCTATTAAGAATAAAATTTGTATCGAGAAATGAGACAAGGATTATCGACTGTACGAATCCCACAGCACACTCGTTGCCTATATTCCTTCGCCAACAACCTCCAATTGAATCAGCCAGCAGTTCTCAATCTGGCCACCCTCTTGAACAGCCAACACTCGCTAATTCGAGCCGACACAATGCCCGGCGATGTCATCGTGGGCCCGGCAACCGTGACGTCACATCATTGATAGAGGCGCCCACATCGAAGACTCAGGAGCCGCGGATACCGCGTATACGAGCCAAGAATAGACCGGTCCACCTATTTCCATTTCGTCGCGATTCATCGCGCAACAATCTATCCGTTTGAAGAGGAAGAATCTACCGGGAGGTCCGGGAGAGCCATTAGTGTGGGAAATGGCGAGGGTTCGGTGAAAAGAGCATGGAAGCGATCGAAGACAAAGATGCTTCGAGGAAGAATCGCGGCGCGAGACGGAGAAGGGCTCTGCTGGAGAAAGGAGGCAACGTGGCGTCTGCTTAGGAGGCACATATAGACGCGGCGGCGTCGCGTCGCCTCGGTCAGGATTGTGCAAAAGCTTCGGCCGACTCTCATCTCAATGATCGTTTCCTGTGCCATTATGCTACTGCTGAAAAGGCGGCAGTACTCCCGTCTTATGCATCCCGACTGTTTACGCGGCTATTGAAATCGCAAACGGAGAAAGTCGAAGGACGATTACTCGTCGTGCCAGATACACGTACTTACGTGTGCACAACAGGCTCGTTTGTTCCTTTCTTCGCCCGAACCGGTATCGAGTGCTGTGCTTATTAACTGAAAGGCTATAGTCTTACGTCTCGAACGCGAAGCGCATCTAAGCGCTCGAGAAGGAGATTATTCAGAACTCTAGTTAGGCTTGATCTTGCTACGGCTCTTCGACTTCTTAACGGTACTCGAATGGTACTCGAGACATTTTCATGTACTGTGATGGATCGTGTATACTCGACCAATAAACATCGAGCCAATTTCTCTTGGTTTCAATCTACGATCGAAGGGATTAAAAAGAAAGCGTCACGTTTTCATATAGAACACATATGGAAAATCTGCATCAATTTTAACGAAAATTGACCGAGCGACCGCAGAACTAATCTTCGTCTGAAAAATAGCTTTCTTCTCCTGGGTTACCGGTGATAATCAACCGGCACGTACGAGAAAACATTTTCTCTCGGATTGCATCAAGCAATACGGTTTCGAAGCGAGACCCGTCCACGTTCCTTTTCGAGTTCGAATCGCGTGAAATCTCATTTAGTGCCGGCGCGGCGCCCCTATTAAACGGCGGCCTCTTGTTCTCATTCTCGAAATCGTCGGTAGGCAACCGAGTGAATCTCTTCGGGGGCCTGCGGCGCGTCGGTTTCGCAACAATGCATAAGTACGTGGGCCTCGGCGTTGGAAAAAGACTTCCAGGTTGAGACCATTGTATCGCGGCGTCGATCGCAAATTTCTAGACCGATTCCTTTGTCGATGCGGTGCGCGCGAGAGCTATCGAATCCAAAGGATTTCCGGTCTGCTGCTCCTCTATCGGTGGAGTCGTTACGTACAAATTCCAGTTTGGTTCCACTCGCTTGGCAACACCTCTCGCGTTCCCTCTTCTCGTCTTCCTTTTCGTCTGTCATTCAGCCACGAAATTTTTTCCTAGTACCTCGGTTCAACTGTCTGTCTCTCTCGAAACGATTTCCGAACGAGGAGTATCAAGATTTTTCGAGAGACAAGAACAGTTCAGTTTTAAGATACATAAATAATTAATGAACGGTAGCCCGATTTTGTAACTGTTTCTCATTCGAGAGGTGAACGTCTGGAGAGACTCGTGCACAGAGTCCCTGAAGTTTAGTAATAAATTTTGTACTAAATGAGACAGCTAAAAGTGCAGAGGGGGGAGGGGGAACGTAATCTTCAGTTTACACAAGCGTCGTTGGTAGTAACAATGACTAGAAGTCGGTTTCCAATTATTACCAGATACTCGAGGGGACCACTCGAGAGCGCGCTATAATTAAAGAAAAAATCTGTAAACCGTCGAGGACAAGTAGCAACGGAAGTTGCTTCCAGTAAACGATTGCTGGCATCCCACCCACGTGAAGTGTCACCGGGGGCCCTGTCAAGCGTAATTAGGTCGAGACGAACGACCGATTTCGAGCGTCGGAGATCCTCGGAGGATCCTCGAGAGAATGAGCATGACGACGTGTTTCCTCTGTACACATCGGGCAGCGTGTAGGTACGTCAAGGGCCCTCCGTCGGGGCCTAACGGACCGAATCGAGCCACAGCCTTTTCTCTGTGCGAGTAAACCCGCTGTAGGACGCGGAGCGCGTTCGTACGGGAGGAGAAGGTTGCCAGTAGTGGATTATTTGAAGAGCACTAGCGTGTTTATATATTTCATAACTCGATCGTGAGGTTCTAAGAGGACCCATGCGGGGTCTCCTCGAGGGCGACAAAGGGTAGGTCCGGCGTTCCCTGTAGGGGCCAGAGGGGGCATAAACATAGTGGGACCCCTCGAATCGGTTCCTTTCCATGAAGGATCTTTTCTCTCCCCGCGCGTTTCCCATCCCCTCTGATTTTTTCTCTTCGCTCGTTCCCTACGGGTTCGTATGTACGGTTCCTTCGAGCATTTAGCGCTCCCCGAGCTAATTCAATTATGGACCCGTGGGCGCGTAATAAAAAATATATGGAAAGCAAATACACGTGCGCGCCACGCCGCCGCCCCGCCGCAACCGCGGGACTTTTTCGAGTGGAAGCGTTAAGCACAGAAACCGCGCGCACACGCGTGTAATATCGTACGCCGCGTTCCTCAGTAATAAACCATTTTCACAGTCCTCGTTCCGAAAAACGGTAAACTTTCGTCACTCCGAATAATTTCGTCATTATCGTACGATGATTGAAAGTACGGTACGTATAATCTTCTCTGAGCGAATCTTCACCCTGGATAAATTACTTTTCTTTTTATTTCAAAATGTAGAGCATACCAGCTTTCTTTCAGAAGTCGTATTAATGTCATATATTTTTATATTACCGATGAAAAATGTTCAATTATAATTTTTTGATCGAGACATGCTAGCGGGACGTGTTCCATTTTTGGGTTAATGGTTTTTCAGCGCTTCTACTTGAGAAAACATCATTATACCGTTTATGATAATGAAGACAAGAATGAATAGAACGTGTTTGTTTAAAACATGAAGAAGGTTAAATATATTCTCGGCGAAACGCGCGCGGGTTGCGGTAAAGTTCGAAGAACGACAGTGATTCATTGAGAAATAATTTTCGTCAAAAATCACTGCCTCGGGCATTCGACACAAGAGTTAAGATAATTTATTTAAATTCGACTACGGAAGATACGTTCTGTAATTATTTAATAAATTTCATCGTTACGAAACCGATTAAAAGTTTCTCCTCCAAGTATGTTACTAGCAGCAAAATTTATTTTTAAAACCTCAAGATTCGCGAGATATATTTAATTATACCATATGCTTCATTATTATGCACCACGTACTGCAGTTAATTGATTGTGCACCGGTTTACATTTTAATTAGAGATTGGAAACTTTTTAACCCGTTCGATGTCGCAACCGGTGGCGCGATTGCAAAATAGAGAAAGTGCTTCGTGTGTACTTACCGTCCATCGGAAGGTGAAATGCAGTTGCAGGGTGACTGGTTCGGTGAGGGTGAAGGTGTTCTGGCCGAGGGCGTGACTAGATACGTTGCCGAAGCTGCATGAGCCGATGGCGGTGACGTTCGACTGGTACTCCTTCAGGCAGAGCCAGAAGGCCGTCGAGCACGGTGTCGTACAGGGTGGCGAGCCACCCTTTCCTCCGCCATCAGCTCCCCCGCCGCAACACCTACCGTCCACCAGAGTGCCCCTGTTGTTCGTCAGCGAGAGGATCTGCACCTCGAAGAAACCGCTCGCGTTCGTCGCCTGTAGCATCAAACAGAGCCCACAATAAGACATTAGAGAAACTTGACATGATTAGAATTCGTTACATTTGCTCAGATTAGCTGTCTAATTATTTTATAAGAAATTCATAATCAAATAAATGTTTACAGAATTTATATTATTTATCCATTAAGCTATTAATGCAGATAATAGGTCAATGAACTCATCCCAGATAACTCACTTTACATTTTGATCTCTGCGCTAACCTACTAACCACTTTCACGTCTGACATTTGGATGTATTAAAGTTCGGTCGGTGCGTTCGCTTCAACAACCGTCGCTAGTCTCAGCCAATGTTTTTCCCTTCGATTCCGTGCGACGAACGTGTCGGGTTCGTTACGCGGAGAAAACGAGCCGCATTAAACGCTGTGCTACGATTCCATTCGGCTGTTTCTAATGGGCATAATAAAACAGCGGGATTTTCCTCTCCGATCTCGCGAAAACGGAAGTCCTTGGGCCCCCGGGAGGCGAAAGGCCCCTCGAGTATCTATTACGAGCGCAATCGAGCACTTCGATTGGAAAAAGTTGAACAGCTTCGAATCCACAGAATAGTCCGACGATATTTTCTTATTAAAGATTAATTCATTCGAAAAAGCATTTCGTAACGGGTAACGAAAGGAAGATTCTACGCCGCAATAGTGAAAAACGATACATGGAAGTTAATAACCATTGTCGTCTTAAGTGGTAATGTTTAGTGTCTTACTGAATTATGTACTTTGTTAAAATATAAGAATTCACTAAGTTCTGTAATAGAAATACAGATTTCAAAGTGATCAAATAATAAGTATTTCAAATGATACTATTATAATTAATAGTATCATTTGAAATACTTATTATTTGATCACTTTGAAATCTGTATTTCTATTACAGAACTTAGTGAATTCTTATATTTTAACAAAGTACATAATTCAGTAAGACACTAAACATTACCACTTAAGACGACAATGGTTATTAACTTGCATGTATCGTTTTTCACTATTGCGGCGTAGAATCTTCCTTTCGTTACCCGTTACGAAACCTCTTTCTACTTATGCTTCACCCACACCGACATCGGCTACGAATGCTCACCTCGAGCACGTGCATTCAACGTAGTTGCACCTATCCAAACATACAGGCTGGGTGCATGCACGTAGAATGCATCTGTGGGCGAAGGTACACGAACGGCACACAAGCCCCACACACGGGTCTATGTAATTACCGTAAGAGTAAGATCGAAGGTAGAAAGCGCAGAGGATCGTCTGCTGGCCTTTGCTTTCCACGACGCGCTTCCTACTTACGTTATATAACTCGTTATAGTGACATTTTCGCTACGGGTAAAACCGAGAGCTTCTGCGGTTTCGTGCGACCCGCAAGTTGTAGGACGGATCCCGCGGGAATTGCAGAGTAAATCACGGATAATGTCCAGCTGCGCATCACGGGAAACGGAGGAGCCATCAAGAATCGCGCTCGCGAGCGAAGGACAATATGCGTCTCGTACCAGGACCGCAAATGTAATCATTTTTATGCGAATAAAATTACGTTCGTAATAATTTTGATTTTACGAAATAATTGATTATATTTCAATTTCAATTGTTTAATACGATATTAATATTTCGTTTACGAGGCTCCGTTTTAGGAATCGTTGTCGTGCCGATGGAAGCAATAAACGTAACTTTTGAATGACGTATGTAATTTGTTTGGAGGTCCGTGAGCTTTAGGCTCGTTTGACACGAAACTAATTAATTCTTTTCTTCGTTGTTTTCCGGTGCGCGCGTAAAATGAGCTGCACAATTGACTGATCAGTTACAGAGTTCTGCATGCGATCCGCGGAGAGAAATCTTAAGACGAGGTTGGTAAGCGCGCAGGCAATATCCGTTAACGACGCCGCCGCGGCGCGTCTTTCTCCCCGCGAGGAATATATCAATCGAGGCGTAGAAAACGCGAAGAATGTCGTCGGCCGTAAAACGAGCAGCGTGTACAACCGGGGCCCGAGGTTCCCTGTGCTCCACGCTCGATCCTTGCTTTTACGATGCTTAGTTAGACGACGGGGGAGAGAAGGACCTCCGGAGCTTTTCGTTTCCAGCGTCCATCGGCCGTGTGTTTGCGCACGGTGTAACGACCGTTCCCACCCCTCTCTGCCCCTCTCGTTGTTTTATTAGCCGTGCATACTTATTCTAGAGGCTCTCGCCAGTAACCCGTTGCCTCCGAAAGCAGCTGAAAACCGTGAACGGCCGTGGTCCCACAGCGGACGCACACGGGGACACCGTTTGCGCTGGCAAAGTTTGCACAGTCTGCTCACGTGCCGACGTGAAATTGCCCGGTGCCGTGCTGTGCCGAGCGCGGGGACGACGGGCGCTTTCAGCCCGCGCCGACACACGGAAGAACGGCACGGCCTTTTTCAAAACTGGCATCGGCCGAGTACCTACGTACCGCGTTTCGATCATACGCGCGGGATGGGTATCGTCCGCCGCGCCGCGCTACGAGCCAGGAATTTTTAACAGTCGATCGCGCGGTCCCGCTCGCTGTACTCGAGGTCCGGGCCTCTTTCTCACGCCGGTTGATCCGGGCCGAACCTGGTGAACTATACGCGGCGACGCGTGATCCGGTTTCATTATGACCGATTAATTGGGACGATTCGGTTCCTCGAGTATTTCAGTTATTTATTTGTAGAGGGAGTACATAATTTATTATTGATTTTTATCGGGGTTTTATTCGAATTCTTGTAAAAAGCAGGAAACTCGTTAAGGATCTTTGAGATTGCGGCAATGGGCTGTTCAACGATCTTTCAGAAAGAGAGATTTTCATACTTCTCATAGTCTTCAAGTGTTTAACATGAAAGAGTAGAGGAAGGGGCAGAACCCGGTACTTTCCCACATGCCACCCAGGGATAATTGAAGTTTCTCGCAGCTGTCGAGAGGTGTAATAAAGGTGGACACCTCGTATTAACGTCTGGCTCTCGGCCTCGAAACAATCACTTTGCCCGAGCTGCTCGCTTTCACGGTTATTAGGTCAATTGTGCGAAAGCTCATTTTTCGTTCAGATGTCAATTGTTCTTTCAGCAACATCGCGTCGCTCAATCGCGCGTTAACATTCCGTTCTTTAAGGATGTATTGGCTATACAGTCAATCCCAACAGTTTATACTTTAGAAACGCATTTTTTAAAAAGAAATCAGACGTCGGAAGAACATTGCTAATAATAAACAACAAAAAAAAATTTTTTATTTTTCCGAGATTTTTCCAAGGGGTACCCCTT